GCACCATCCCTTGGTCAGTGACAGGGCAAGGCAGCTCTTCTTGCAGAAACCCCGGAGCTCTGAACTTAGTCCTTCCTTCATTTCTGATGGAAAAGACCACAGTACCTGGACACCATGCTAATCTCTAGGGACTGGACAGCCCAGACAGCTGGTGCGTCCCCAACACGTCCCGTCTCACCTGGGAAATAGCTGCTTTCACCCAGCTAGCCCCTCCAGCTGTGGTCCAGCCGCTCAGGCCCCTCTCTGAGCTCAGCCCTCAGGGCAACCTCTGTGTTGTAGCAACACATGACTTCATCTGAGGGGAATTCCTCCAGCTGCTAACGCAGCTGCCCGGTCATGTTTCGATGATCCAGTTCTCCTGTTTCTTTGTCTGAAGCCCTGCTGATCCTGCCCCATCCTCTCCTGGAGAAACTCACCAAAGTCATCATTCGTTGATGGGACATTAACTAGAGCCTGGCTTCCAGGGAGGCCCCCCTTGCCCCTTCCCAGTGGCCGGCTCACTCACGCAGCGAGATCCTTGAACCAGGGACACACGGCCGATGCAGCCTGGCCTCACCCCTGGGGCCACCAGCCAAGGAGCATTGGTCATTTAAACCTTGGCACAGAAAAATTCTGGGGTTAAAAAAGCCACCATCCTCAGCTTCTCAGACCGTTGGTCTTCTGTGTAGGATCAAAAACAAATGTGCGTTTTTTTTCAGAGGGGGTCGGGTGATCCATAGAAAATTCCCATCTCAGGGTTTCTTCGTCAGAAACTTAAAAGAGCACCGCGCTTTGAAATGGCATGTGGCGCGTGTGTGTTCTCCGCTGCCGGAAGGATGTGATTGAGTTTGGAGTTTTGTTTAACTTGAAAAAAGAGCCCACAATGAAAACAATGTGTGGAAGGGTCCCCTTCAACACATCGCCGAAGGCAGCTCTTGTCCTTGTTCATCTTCGTGTCCGGGGGAGCAGCTGACGGCTCCCGGACAGAGCGATGCTCGCGGGAGCCCACAGTGGGGCGCCCTCCTCCCTGGGCCTGGCGGGCCCCAGGCTAAGCATCTGCCCCCGAGCGGGTGTATGTGGGGACAGTCCTCGCTGGTCTGAAAGACCACTAAACCGCAGATGCTCCTGGGTCAGCCTTCATCCTCAGTTTATCCAGGGTGCACAGTTGGTCCCAGAGACAGTTTGGGGGTTCTACAAGTGGCTCTGGTGACTGAGCCTGTGGCTGATGGGCTGGTGGATGTAGAGGGCCCCTGGGTCTGTGAGTTGTACAGATAAGGCTATAAAGACTAAACAGTGCCTGTGCCCCAGTGCCCCCCACCTTGGCGGCTCAGGGATCCCTCCCGCAGCCTCATTGTGTCACTAGCTGAGACCAGTGTAGCCCTTTCCCAGAGGAGCAGGTGACCATTCACAAATAGCAGGATAGTTCTGGTAAGAAGGAAGTTAATGCTCACCTGATCTTCACTGTACAGACAGGTAATGTGAGACCCAGAAAAGGGGACACAATTTCTCCAAAGTTCTATGGTCACTAGTGGCAGGGCCAGTCTGGGATTCCTGGCCGCTGCGTGCCCCTGCCCCACACCGCCTGGCCCTACTCATGTGGCCTTTTGATTTCCTGCTCAGAACCCTTCTTCCCACCCCCGCTTCCCCCAAAATCCCGCAGTCCTTCCCACAGCCCCTCCGGGCTTATGGAGCCTTCTTTCCTGTCTCTCACCTCCACCCTCCGCTTTGGCCATGGCAGCCTGGCGTTGAAATGGCCCGTTCTTGCCTTTGCGCCTGCTGTTTCCCCTGCCTGGTGCCGCCTGCCCTGCAGGGAGCCCTTACACACTCCACCCTACACCCAAGTCTCCTCTGTTCCCTTGCCCAGCCCAGCTTCCTCGCAGTTTCGCCATCCTCTGACATTATGTTATAAATGTATTTGCTAGTCTGTTCACGGCTTGTCTCCCTGGGAAAACTCTACCGCTCTGTGAAGGTGGCAGTGTGGACTGCAGTCACTGCCCGGCTCCCAGGACCTGGAACATTGCCTGCTACGCAGCACGCCCTTGATGCAAGGCAGGTGAATGAATGAGCGAAGGAATGAGCTAAGGAAGGAGCGAATGAGTGGTTATTCCTGTAGTGACTGCTGCCCAGACAGCCCCACTGCCCTGAGTGGACTGGGCCTCCTCTGAAGGTGGGCAGAGGCGTCTGGACATTACCTGCTAGCTGATCGCAGGCACGTCCGTCCTTCCCGGGCCACACCGGGGGTGGCCGTGTGGATGGGAGTCCTCAGAGGCCTGTTGCTGAGGGGCTGCTGGGTGCTGGGAAACATGGGTTCTTGGGGAGAGGTAATGAGCCACACACTGCCTGACTGTTGCTGTCCTACAAGCAGACGACAGCACTCAGAGCCCCAGTGTGCTTCCTGAAGAACTGGGGTAAGAGCAGGTTGATGGCGACACGGAATGAGGTGCCGNCGCTTCCCCTGGAACCTCCACAGCTTTCTCCCCAGGGACCAGGCAGAAAGAAGAGCAGACCAGGTTGCAGTGGGACTGTGGGGATGGCTGTCCCTCGTGTCTCTTCCAGAAGCCCCCCCCGCCGTGCGTGCACACACAGGCACCCGGTTTTGTGGAGCAACCAGGTCAGCCTCGGCGCCACTCCACTTCATGTTTGCCTAGTAAACTAGCGTGAGCACTCCATTCCTGTGGATGTCGGAGCTCTTTAGACCTGAAGAAGTTGCATTAATCTTGCACAGAGAAACATCTCTGCTCACAGCTGGTTAGGTGGGGCCTTGGTTGGGGGGTGGGGTGCTCACAGCTGATTAGGTGGGGCCCTGGTTGGGGAGGTATTGCAACCCTGCAGGTAAAACACGGGGGAGAAAAGCTCACAGGGTGCTGGGGGATGGCAAGTGGGAAAACCAGGGATTCTGGGGTGAATGCAGCTCGAGATTGCTGTGAAGACCTAGGAGTTGATATTTGCAAAGTGCTTAGAGCAGGGCCGGTACTGTGTGCGTTTGTTAAATACAATACAAGAGCCAGGTGGTGACGGGAGGCCTAGGCATTCCCCTTGCACCAGGGGCTTGCAGCCATGACCAGCCGTCCGGGGCTTTGGATTCTCCTCCTGGCTCTACCATTTTTCAGCCCTGTGACTTGGAGCTAAAATCATACTTGGCCTCCATTTTCTCATCTGTGAAATGGGTGCATTAACGCCCACCTTGGCTCCCCCAGGGGGCTTTTGGACATGCAGGGAAACATTCAGACATACACAAAAACAAACTATGTTTACTTATTAATAATACTGTGATCTGGTCTGCCTGGCCACATTAAAGACACCACACGGGCCCTCCTGCACCTCTGGGATGTGAGCACTGCTTCCCCGCTTGACTTCCCTGGGGGCTCTGGAAAGCCCAGTGTGTCTTTTGTGTGGAAGCAGGCCAGTGCTGGCCCTCCGTTTATGGAGGCCAATTCCCCTTTGAGCCCAAGATTTCTGGAGTCTGGGTTTGGCAAATTGATTTAATCAGGGTGAGAAGATTGGCTTTCTTTGTTCCCAGTCCCCATGGAAGATGCCAGTATTGTGGAACTATGAAGGTAAAATTGAATATATAAAATCTAAGTTTAAATGTCAGGAGAAAAGTTTCCTGATGTTTAGAGTTCAGAGCATTCAAACCAAGTGTCCATCAAGGGATGAATGGATGACCAAAACGTGGTATATCTATCGGGCACATGGTATCATGGATGAACCTTGGGGACAAGATCCTAGTGAAATAAGCCAGACACAAAAGGACAAATACTGTGTGATTCGACTCATATGAGTCACATTCGTAGAGACAGAAAATAGGACAGTGGTCACCAGGGCCAGGGGTAGGGAGGGCAATGGGGGAGGGGAAGACAGGGAGTTTTTCGTCGGTACAGGGTTTCAGTTTGGGAAGATGAAAGACATCCTCTGATGGATGGTGGTGAAGATTGCACAACAACATGAATGTGCTTACCTGTACTGTACACTTAAAAATGATTAAAGTGGTAAGTTTTCTGTTATATGTATTTTACCACAATAAAATAAAAGAATTGATAGTGTTTACAGTACGGTACCTGAATCTGTTTGCACAGAAATGGTTAGCAGCATTGTTTGTGTGCATTTATTACGGCCGGACTGGCAGGCTGCTGACCGGTGTGTGTGGAAAATAAACCGTCCGCGTCTCTTTAAACTAGTCAGCAGTTCAGACTCAGCGTGACTCCGGCTGGCCTGCAGCCTTCCTCCCGAGTGAGAGTTGACGGAGAAATCTCCACTTCTTAGCCCTTTCCCAGTCTAACTACTTTTTAAAGAGCCTTGTTTTCCTAGCACCTATAATTATGTTTGCCTCCAGGGTACCCAGGAATTTTTTCTTAATAAGCAAAGAGCATCCTACAATTATCATGATGATTTGTTGAGGGCAGGCCAAGTGCAGACAGGGGCTGACTCACCTCTGGAAACTGATGCTCACCCGTTGGCATTTACATCTCGGAGGCACCGCCAGCACACTTAGGGTCAGTAATTAATATTAAGAGCTGGAGAATTAACATTCCCACATAGGTGTCTGCTGGCTGCAGCTGGAGCGGGCCCTGGCTCCGCAGATGGTTCTAGGTAAATACTGCCAGCCTGTGTGGATGCCATAACCCGGGGCTGCTGGAGCCACGCAGCCAAGGCCAGGATGGGCAGAAGCCTGTCGGCTCTGTCAGCCCTGATTTGCAGCCGAGCCTGTAATCTCCCTGAGTTCAAAGAGCGCTTAGCTGCTTGTCTTTGTCAAGAGCGCGGTTGGGGATCTTTTATGTGAGAGATGTAGGATTCTCAGGCCGACTTTGATTATTTATTCATCCCCCTTCTTGGGTGTGTGATAGCCGGTGCACCTCGGAGCCCCCTGTCCTGACTGCTCTTGCTCTGAAATTCATTGAGCTTTAGAGTCCTTTGAAAATTGCTTTTCAAGGGAGGAAAAAGGTTTTGAAGTCCTGTCTCTCTCTCCCTGTACAGTGCCGCAGCATCTTTTGCCAGCGTTCCATGCTCCCTTACCGATTGACATGAGACACCAGGAGGGAAGGTACCATTATGAGCCTCACTCTGTCCACAGCGTGCACGGGTAAGTTCCGCCCTCTGCCCAGGAAGCCGGGCTGCCAGCATCCACCACCTTGCCTGCTTTTTTCTTTTTGGAGTTTCCAATCTGCATCGTCCTGAGCAGTCACCTTTGCCACCCACGAGTGCACTGATCCGGGACCCCAAGTGAATGTGTGGGTGGGATGTGAACCCCCACCTCCTATGGTTCCCTGAAAGGAAACACTGCCGTCTCGCACCTCACCCTTCCAAGGCCACAGACTCTCCTGGTGAATCCATGAGCACCCTGGGGCTCTTCACCCACCCATGCAGTGGGAATCCCCTTCAGGCCAAAGGTCCCATGTAAGTATGGTGACCTTCGCTATATGTTGTCTCGGCATAATAATTCATGGCACTCATGGCACTCCTGTCACTCCCTAAGGCAGGGGTGCTGAACCTTTTTTCTGCCAAGGGCCATTTGGCTATTTATAACATTCATGGGCCATACAAAATTATCAATTTAAAAATTAGCTATGAAAAAAGCTCCTACATTTATTGAATTTTGAGTCCCTCCTGGAGTTGCCTTGGCAGGGTGAAACCAAATGATTTTGCGGGCCATATATGGCCCGTGGGCCAGACGTTCCCCACCTCTGCTCTAAGGCGTCCCAACTTGGATGCTGAATTATAGGGTCGCCTGACTTATAAGGACAAGCTCAACGTTATACTTTGGGGCCTCTTTCTGCTTCTGCTTTGAGACCGCAGGTAGTAAGACACCATGCTGGCTCACTACACCTCTTGAGGCCTGTAGCTGATGTCACTTTTCTTGGTCTCTACTTGAAGACCAGCGCCCATGCTTCCCCCATCTGTCTGCTGTCAGAAAAGAGGCCCTCCCCCAACATCTCCGCTGCTCCCACACCTGCCTTGGGGGCACCTACTGCACAGGATCAGCTGCCCTGTGGCCCCTCTTGACCCAGCCACCTCACCTGGCCAGGTTGCTGTTTGTGGTTCTAGCCCTCTCAGCCCTGTCGCGTTTTCCTGTGCCTCGGCCCCTGTGCCCCACCTGGCTAGACCTGCCTCTCCTCCTGGCCCCCTCTGCCAGACCCTCCGAGCCTCAGGGGAGGAGCCACCGCCTCCTGCGGGCACTGAGATCCCACACACTGAGTGGGCCTGCCCGGATCCCCACCCAGCTCTCGCTCGGGAATGAGGATTCACACCTGCGTCCCAGCAGGCTCTGCCCGCCTCTCACCTCCGCACCCACAGTGGCTGACGTGTAATAGGTGCGGGTCACTGTTTGCTGAGCGCTCGGCCCTCTCCACCCTCCCACCCACGGAAGACAAACCCCCCCGCTCGCCCAGTTCCTGTTCGAGTGCAGTCAGTAAATCCCTGCGGAGGGCTTATTAAGCCAAAGCAAGCCCTGTGCCCCTCGGGAGGCAGGTGTCTGAGAAGGTGTCCCAGCCCTCAGGTGACTCCTACTACTGGGCACACATTTCCTCCCCAAGACAAATCAAATCTGGGGCTTTTATTTGCTTTTTAAAAATGTCTTTTACTTTGGAATAATTTCAGACTCATAAGAAGAGTTGCAAAAATAGTACAAAGATTTCCATTATACCTTCGTTACTTCACCCACTCCCTCCCTCACGCGTTAACAGCGCTGCTAACTAACTTCTCGGCCTTACCCAGATTTGGCGGGGGGCCTGCTATTGTCTTTTTTTCTCTGGTTCAGGATCCAGCTTTTGCATTCATTTGTCTTATCTCCATAGTCATCTTTAATCTGGGACTCCTGCTCAGTCTCTTTCATGACCTTGGCATTTTGAAGAGGACGGGCCAGTTACTGTATAAAACGTCCTCCGTTGGGGTTTGTCTGATGTTGCCTTACGATTAAATTCAGAATATGCATTTGGGAGATTGATGAGGAAAGCGGCGGCGCGCCCTTCCTGTCGGGGGCACGTCCAGGCAATATTTCTCATCACTGCAGATTCCTTTTGATC